ACTCTAATAACAACAGATGCTGGAGGGGATGTGGATAGAAAGGAACCTTACTGCATTGTTGGTGGGAGTGTAAACTTGTTCAACCACTTTGGAAAGTAGTATGGAGATTCCTCAAAAGACACCACATAGAGCTTCCCTATGACCCAGCAATCTCACTTTTGGGCATTTACCTGAATGACCACAAACAAGATCATACTAAAGCTACCAGCACAACTATGTTTATTGCAGCATTATTTATCATAGCTAAGATATGGAACCAACCCAGATGTTCCTCAGTAGATGAATGGAGCAAGAAAATGTGGTATCTATACACAATGGAATCCTATGTCTCCATCAGAAAGAATGACATTGCCCCATTTGTTAGGAAATGGAAAGACTTGGAAAAGATTATACTAAGTGAAGTAAGCCAGGCCCAAAGAAACATAGGCCCCATGGTTTCCCTTATTTGTAATAACTAGTATATGTCTGAGACAAGCAGAAAAAGTCAGATAACGTTGATGTTAGGTGAAATGAACTCCAAGATAAGTATTCAAAAGTTTTTTTTTACTTTCATACGATTGTTTCTAACAGATTTATTAGATGATTTCTTTGTTGCTTTGTATGTCCCTCCCCCATGATATAACTATTGTTTTCACTGTATTTGATGTTGGTATAATTTGTGGAAGGGAAGGGAAAAAAGAAATTATTTAAATAGGGATACAGATAGATCCATTGCAACAATGAGATGTACAAGTCATTATGTCAGAAAAACGAACCTTACAACTTTGGTGGTAGTGGGGAAGATATGGGGTGGGTGGGATATGGGAAGGGATAGGAAGGGGAAACAAAGGAGGAAGCAACCATGCTTGATAAGAAATGTACTCATTATTTTGCCCATGTAATTGTAACTCCTCTGTATGGTAGTTTCCTAATAAAAAATTAAAAAAAAAACAAGGCTTTGCAGAATTGTAAATGAGTAGTAGAAAACTTGCTTAGAATGTAAAAGGGAATGAGTATGGTCCCTACCATAAAAAAATTTAAAAAAATAGGATTTATCCCAGTTGATTGCTGATGACTATCATTATCTTAGTATTAGGGAGCTTTCCACACCCACAAACAACAACAACAGCCAAAGAAAGCTTGTCATTTGAGTAAAGTGAAAACTGTTTCATGGCCTTGTTCAGTTGATGGGCACACATGTCCATCTGTGGCCTAGATATTTTGTTATGAACATAAAATAAGAAGATTTTCCTAGATTTAAACCGAGCCTGGCAAGTCTAAAAATCTATAAAATCCTGTTGGAGAACAAAATATTTTCATAAGTCTAATACTTGCATGTCTTATTCATAATATATTTTATATATTAGCTTTCTACTAAAATATTTTCAGGTGGGAGCTATTCAAAGACAAACATCATTTATCTTCTTTGCCAATATAACAAATGTAGGATTGAATCCATTGACTTCAATGTACAGATCTGTATAATGAGAACCACTAGTCAGCCCAACAAAGAAAACAGGACTAAGAGAAGTAACCAGAGGCTGCCTAACTTCTGACTTCCATTCACTATTCTGTCTGCTGTACTTTATTTAAAAATTGGTTTGCTTTCTAATTGGAGTAGGAGTTGGGAGTGAGGAAGAGGAAGATGACAAGAAAATCATAACCGATTCCTACTTAGGTTGCCTTCTTAAAGCACCCTTAATTTTGTCACTGAAATTCTAGATAGCCATTCACCTGCAGCAAACCTCTTCTTGATGAGTGAAAACCGATATCCCGCTCCGACAAGTTCAATGTCACAGCCAGAAAGAGTGCTTCCTTCACTTGTGAACTGTACAACCAATGGGGAAGGTTTGCTTGGGCCTTCAGATAACTGAAATCTTGCCAATAATGAACCCACACCTAGAAAAGAAGAGTATTATTGCAAGGTAACAGTCAACACACATATTGGAAATAATTGTTATATTGGAGAGTTGACATACCAAATTAGAAATAATATAGATTTGAGTGACAAAATGTATTATCAGAAATTATAAGCGAATTGACTTGTATACTGATAAGTATATAATTCAGCAAAACATTACATTAAAATCTGGAGCATGCCTGAATTACCCCAAGATATTATCAACACTTAAGTAGATCTATATAATGAGCTGTGAGACTGAAACAGTTTATGCAGTCTCCCAACTAAGAAGAGCCCAGGACCAGGTGAATTTACTACCAATTTTTACCAGAACTTTAAAGAACTAACATCAATGATCTGAAAAGTATACCATAAAATAAAAAGGGGACACACTTTGTCAAACTCATTCTCAGAAGCCAGAATTATCCTGATGCCCAAGCCAGAGGAATACCTAACAACAGCCCAAAAGAAAAGTATAAGCCAATTTTCTTGATGAATATAGACACAAAACTTCCCAGTAAAACATTTACAAACTGAACTTAAGAGTTCCTTGCCCTTATTGATTACAATCACTAAATACAAAAATGAATTGAAATTGACTTGGTTTTTGTTCAACTTATATTTTAGTTCATCATTGGCTAATACCTACAAGTTGTCCCTGCGTTTTTGTGAATAAAACAAGGCTGTGAATATGTTACCTCCATTTTCTGACTTTTGAGATATATCAGGAATCTTCCACAATATTCTTTGTTGTTCAGCATTCCTAAAAATAAAATACATAAAAGTCTTTTCCATATGCAAGCATTTTTTGTTTAACAACTCATGTATTTTTCTAGGTGCTATTAATTTAAAAAAGTTTAGCTACAACTTAAAAATTCTATCATGTCTCTCTACCTACCTATTATGAGAAACGTGTATTTTCTAAAGTGATCTGCTTCTTTTCTGTTGCTCTTGTGAAAATTGTTTTCCTGGAAAGTTCCTGCTTTGGCCAGGAGGCTTGGCCCTTGGTAATTAATAATTTTCCTCAACACTTCAATTAAGACATCCTGTTATAGGCTCCTTGAATTTTAGTTACATCCTGTTAACTAAGCTACATTCTTTTGTGGAGAGAACCTGAATTCAGCCAATGTGAACAGAGAGGCAGGGCCTGTTGGGTTAGGGACAAAAAAGGAGCAGCCTCTCTGCTGTGTACTCTTGCTTGCCAGAAATCTGGCTGATAGTGAAAGGTTTACAAGTTAACCTTGCCTCGCCATTTTCCTCTTGAGTTGGTGTTCCTTCTGTGCCACCAGCCAACATCTCACTCTTTCGAATGCTATTCTTGTGTGCACAGATTCTGTATTCTCCTTTTCTTTATTCTAACTAGCTACAAGATAGACATTTAGAGGACAATATAGAAGTTAGAAAAACTTTTGAACATATCTATTGAAAAGACTTATATGGGTAGGATGAACACATTCTTGTCATTTAAATTGGAGCTGTCATGTGGTTGACATTCACGGTTTGAAATGTTCTCCTTTATGCTACTGATAGTCACGTAAAGAAACTGGTGATTTATTTTAGCACATTTGTTCCCCGGTCCACAGGCTACAAAATGGAGCCTTGCATTTCCCAGACTCCCTTGCACTGAGGGTCGTAGATGCAAATGAGGTTCCTATAACTACATGCCTAATTTGGGATTTGGAAGGCAGAAAGCAGGCAGAGGTAATTCTCCTGCTGCCTTCTTGCTGTGTACTCTGGCCAGCAACCCGAGATGGAGAGGATTCCAAACACAGAAGCCCACTCTGGTGTTACAGGGTATTGGGAAGCAACTGAGATGCCAACAAGAGCTTTCTGATCCTTGGATCAGATGGATGGGGGTGGGCTTTTGAATTCAGTGATCCCATTGGTTGTCTGATTTCTCTTCTTCACCAGGCTGTGCAAGTGTTAGCATCTTCCCCAGGGCTAGTTCTTCAGCATTCTGGGAAACACTCTTGGAAGTCCGGCTTAAAGCCTGCTCCTGAAAAATTTCTGCTTTAGGAGTATGTTCCTGTGTGCCTAACACATCACTGCATCAGAAAACCCCATAGAATTCAGGAGAGATGGGCAATATGTACTAGGGTTGAGACATGGCCACATGAGGCAGATAAGTGCATGTGGAATTGTGTCCAAAATGATGGCTAGAATGGAAGATATGGCCAAGAGGACATGAGACAGTTTACCACAGGGCCCAACACGAATGCATCCCTGAAAAACCTTGTGTTAGCAAGATCATTTAGTAAGAATAATAGAGCTTGTGGAAAGCTAGAGCGATCTCAAGTTCTACACATATCTATAATAGGATTGCCTATAAAAATAATGATTTACACATGGAGAGAAGACTTAGATTGCCAACACAGGTGTTTCTATGTGGTTTGAGCCCTTGCAGTGAGCTTTTGGATGTTCAGTAGGGAAGAGTGGGAACAGGCTGGCAACACTTTCTATATACCCATTCTGGTGCTGGCACACTGTAGAGGGCAGTGGCACTGGGTGCTATTTGGTGGGTTCAAGACCCAGAGCAATACGTCCAATGCTGAGGACATAAGGTAGACCTCAGGCATTGTCTACTTAAATTTCCCTAAAATAGAACTGAAAGGGCTCATGCAGTCATGTAGCCACTGAGTGGAGAGCATCTTGCTTTCCTCATGAGGCCTAGAGGGTATTTTTCCTGCAATGAGTTGATTTCCATTAGAAACACACATTCCAGCACATTACTATTTCAGAGCCTCACTCTCAAGCTATTGTGGTGCCTACTGGTGAGATTCAAGTCCATTGTGCCACTTCTGTGAGTTCCTTTGCTCCATGGTGATGCTTCATCTCCTGTTTTTGTCCTTTAGATTCTCACTGCCCACTTGCATCTAGAGATGCATTCATCTTCTTTGGCTTCTCACCTGCCATGTCGACTCTAGTTTACTGACAGGAGTTAATGTGGATAGAATATTTATTAACTAACCTGTCTGGCTTAGTTTCCAGGGCTTTCTTCCATGTGAATGCACCCCATACTCCTCATGACTGTCCTATGGAAATGTCTGCTGGCTTGGGCTCTCTCCCCTCTCTCATTTCTGATTCATTCATCCTTAAATCAAAACTAGCTACACATAGGTTACTGAGATCCAAAGTAAAACTACCAAAAAAACATTTTTCTGGTTAAAATATCTAAGACAGTTGTGTTTCCTGCTCTGAGTCTTCACATACAGGCTTGCTGTGTTCTCTTACAGGAAACAAAACACCAAATCTTCAGATAGAGCCTTTGGTGGCTAGGGAAGGAATCAGCAGTTCCTCACCAGACCGCTGGGGGGAGCACAGCCTGGAGCTTGGTCACTCCTCCATCTATGGGGACCAGGAACTGCACGTTGTTGAGGGCCACAGCGGTGGTCATTGCATCGGTGTTGTACTTGTAATCTATGCGCAGGTCAGTGCTTGCAGGCTCACACCGCCAGTTCACTGCCAGGTTCAGAGGCGTGGACTGAATGCCTTGGGCAGACACCTTGCCAAGCAACAGGAAAAAGAACATTTTAGGCTCGACCACTAATCTAAAACGAAACCAGAAGCTATGATTATTTCCTATAATATTGTTCATGTAGCTCATAGATGAACTCTTGTGACCAGCACCGTGAAATTCAGGTACCATGTGAGGGAGCTGGCTGGCTGGCTACATCCATCCATCCATCTATCTATCTATCTATCCATCTATCTATCTATCTATCTATCTATCTATCTATCTATCTATCTATCTATCTATCTATCTATCTATCTACCTGTCTATCTCTCTATCTATCCATCCATCCATCCATCTATCTATCTATCTATCCATCCATCCACCTATCATCTATCTATCATTGATCTATATTTTTAGCCGTGTCATAATTAACATTCATTTCTAAGTTCTCTGGTAATTGACCAGTGTATTCATGTGACTTTCCTCATTCAAGAAAAATAATCGTAGGAGTGGGAAGGATGGGAGGAATGATGAAAGGGTGAAACTGACCAAGATTTGTTTATTATTATTATGTCAGTCACTGGTCTTGAACTTGGGCCTGGACGTTGTCCCTCAGCTCTTTAGCTCAAGGCTAGTGCCCTACCACTTGAGCCACAGCACTACTGCCCATTTTCTGGAGAATAAGAGTCTCACAGACTTTCCTGACCAGTTTGGCTTGGAACCATGATCCTCAGATCTTAGCCTCCAGAATATCTAGGATTATAGGCATGAGCCACTGGCGCCCAGCTGACCAAGATTCATTGTACTCATAGACTGACATGTTGAATGGTAACCACTTTGTACAACTTCTTAAAGATAATACAAATAGGGGTTGGGAAGGTGGCTCAGTGGTAGAGCACTTGCCTTGCATGCCTGAGGCCCTGGGTTCGATTCCTAAAGCCGGAAGTGGCGCTCTGGCTCAAGTGGTAGAACGCTAGCCTTGAGCTGAAGAGCTGAGGTACAGAGCTCAGGCCCAGAGTTCAGGCCCCATGACTGGACCTCCCCCCCACAAAAAAAGATAATACAAATATAATTTTAAAAAGAAAAATAATGGAAATATTTAATCACAAAAATAAATTATAACTAATTGAGGAGATCAAGTGCTAGGAACCAATGAGATTAGAGTCACAGGCACTATTTACCTAATTTGAAATAGGTTTATTTAATAGATTAATAATAATTTTGGATAAAGGACTGTCACACTGGGGAAAAAAATCCAGATTGTTTATATATAATCCATTAAAATAAGTTTTAGGATAGTGATGCTCTTAACAGTGATCTAATTTAGCAACACATATAATTGTAACTGATGTAATTTTTGACAACTTCCATTTTGTGGCGTATTTCTGTAATTTTTTAAATAAAATATTTCACCTATAAGTTTACACTAAGACTATGTGTGAATATTCTTAACACTAGTTCCTAGGTATTACTTTAAGGTTCCCATTTTCTTATCTCTTTCCAATAATATTAAAAGAGATGTTACTTTATTTAGATTTATGTAACATTAGATACTTTATTTTTTGCGGGGAGGGGTCCAGGCATGGGGCCTGAACTCTGGGCCTGGGCATTGTCCCTCAGCTCTTAAGCTCAAGGCTAGTGCTCTACCACTGAGCCACCTTTCCAGCCCCACATTAGATACTTTAGAATGTAAATTTTCAACATGAAAGAGATGCCTTGACTGTGCAAATAGCTTACCTGGTATTTGAGCATGTCCACATTGTAATATGTAGCCTGGGGTTTTTGTTCAGACACTTTCTTTAGGTGAGTCATCAAATTTGGCATATTTACCCAGAATTCCTTGGTATTGGCATCATTTTGTGTATTGTCGCTATGTGAAGAGAAAATGATTGAGTAGTATCTTATAGCAAATCGGCACAAGATGCATCTTGGTAAATTACCATTTGATTTCTATGTCTGTGTCTGACAACTGATATTATATAGTTCACAGTTAGTGTTGCTTTTGGTACAAATATATCTCTGGATGATATTATGTGAGTAGATTAATACTACCAATGCTATTAATTAATATTATTGATGATATTGTTAATACTATTAATACTACAAATCAATAATGACCCAAGAATATTAACAAAGCATGATAATAATTGGTTGCTTAAAACAGTGAATTATTTCTTCAGTAAAACTTCCTAGTCATTCCCATATATTACTTTAGTTTTTGCTAATTCAGCCAATTAATGAGATTAAGGAGCTCAGTAAATTGATTTATTTTTAAATTGACTTCCCCAGTAGTTTTCAGATATTATCCAGTTAAAGATTTAGCCACACTGGGCATGATGTTATCCATCTGTAATCCCAGAACTCAGGAGCCTGAGACAGGGGGATCCTAAGTCTCTCATGAGTCAGGATAGGCTGGGTTATTATAGAGATCTTATATCACAAAACAAAAAAAAACTTTCCCAAATTAACCATGTTCAACTAAGGAGGGGAGTGAGATACTAAAATCACTGTGCTACTTTTTTCCAGCATCTTCATTGTAACAGGGACACTTCACATCAAGGTGATCCTGGGCTTTCAATAACTCTGATGATGGTAGTTTGATGAGAAGCAGAAAGCAGCCTGGCCAAGGGAGGCATTTGCTGTTCCTGTGAGAGATCTAGTTTGCTCAGAGGCCTGTCTACAGAACACCTGTCCAATTTATCCTATGAATGCTCACCTTGATAATAAGGATCAAGTAGGAATGTGAAGTGTATTTGCCTACTTTCCAAGTGACCTGATAACTTGGCACACAATCTGTTGGCTGCCACTTTACTTTCTATACTACTATAATAAGAGCTTTATTTTGCACATATTATATGTTAATCACTATACTAGATGCATTTTTAAACCTATTCGTTAAACTCTACCCAACAAAAAAGAGCAACCTCATTTTCAAAGATGAGTAAGCTTATAGAAAGAGCATATTAGTCATAAGAAGAAAAGAGTAGCTGGTGGCTCATGCCTGTAATTCTAGCTACTCTGGAAGTTGAGATTTTAGGATCAAGATTCTAAGTCAGCCTGAGCAGATAAATCTGAGAGGCTCTTGTCTTCAATTAATTACCAAAAAGTCAGAAATTGAGCTGTGGATTAAGTGGTGAGTGCTAAGCTTGAGAAAATAAAAGTTCAGAGACAGTTCTGAGGACTGGCTTAGAAAAGACAGTGAATTCCTATGATTCAGCTTCCAGCCTCCAGAAATCAAACAAAGCAAGAAAGCACAGTCACAAAAATTAGAGTCTTAAAACTGCTTGTTCTGTTAGGAGGGAGGAGGTCAAGTTTCAGTACAAACTGAGTGTTTCTACTGTGCCTGCTCTTTTAAGATGAAGTGAAGTTCTTCAACTCTGGGAACAGAGGAAATGAGATAGTAGGCTAGAATAGGGACCTGTGGCATGGAAATTGAAGCAAGGCAGATCCAGGAGCTAGGAGTAGAGCATTGTACTAAATAATGTTTTAGGAAAACATATGCATTCATTTCCTCCAGGACGTACTCATCCATCTTAAATAACAATACGTAGTAGAGCATCAATCCCTCTGACCTAGATCCAAATGAGTAATGTGTACCAGAAATTAAGGATGCCTGGTGTCATAATTCTTTTGATAAGAAATGTCACAAGAAGTAGGCACCCATGTCACAAGACTTTTGGTAAGACTGCTCCAGACTAAATGTGCTACAAGTTTGGGTGATAACTACAAAATGATTAAAACTATCAGTTGCCTAACACAAAGAAACAATTTATCTGGAGGAACCAACTTTAACTAATATAAACAGCCCCAAACGAAGAGCCACAGTTGCACCTCTAGATTCTGCACTTTAAGCCCTTGATAAAACTTTCTATTTCTTTCCACCACTCGGCAATTTATCTTACATGCCTAGTCAATTTTTTGCCCATTGTCTACTTTGTGAACCATCTTGAAATTCTTTTTACCAGCACATTCACAAATTGAAGAAACAGGATATTGGGTAATAAATTGAGGTTTTTGTTCATTTGTTTCCCTTAGCAAAATTTTCCTTGCCCCTCTCAGGTGACAGATAACAGTCCTGGCCCTTGAAACTTTGACCTTGGGTAGTTAACCTAAGGTCAAAGGGATATTCAAATGCTTTTGGTTTAAAAGCATGTAAGTTACCTTGAGCTTCCACAACTGTCATTACACAATAAGGCATGAGATATGAGCTATACAGAGGCAGTAAAATTTAACAATTTTCTTGGGATCACATTGTTAATAAGTAGCAAATCAGGATTCCAGTTCTATTTGGTCAAATAGGTCTGACTCTCCCACTACAACAAAATAGAGCATTGGGATGAATACTTAGCAACATGTCATTGATTTATACTAAGTAGAGCTGGCTTATTGTGGAAATCTTAAGTGTACTTTAATTGCATTTGTTCACTTTAATTTTTTAAATGAGCGAAAGCATAGTTCATTGATGATAATTTCTGAGAACTTGTGATTGGCTTGACTAGCTTCTTTAAATCATTATTAAGCTACCCTCTGATTCGACAGATATTTCTCATGCTCCTATTAGACATCAGGTATGATGGGAGGTCTTGTGGACATGGTGATAAACTAGCAGATTGGTGTCCCATCCCTTCTGAATTGCATTGTGTCATGGGACACAGGTAAACGGAGGAAGGAACACATAGATACATAGTTATTAATTGTGGCAAGAACTAGAAAATAAAAAAAATAGTGTGCCTGGAAAGAATATTTTAGAGAGTTTGGGGCTGATGGGTAAGAAAGGGAGGATTAATGATTAGGGGAGACACTGTGGGGCTGAGACCTAAAGTGTGAGTAGGAGTCAGGTGAAGAAGGGCAGGAAAGAATTTCATCAAGCACTGGCTTTGGAGGAGGGCCTTCGCTTGTTTCTGACTGGCAAACCTGGCTGGTCCACCTGATCTTCCCACTCAAAGGCAATGATAGCATGTTTAGATTCTGGGGTAGAGACAATGAGCAAGTATGAATTGGGAGATATTGTGAAAGCTCATTTGGCTGTTAAAATATGTTGTAGCCAGGCAAGATTGGATTCAAAGAGGGATACAATTACCATAGAACTGGGACACGGAACAGGTATAACTGCAGGAAAGTATCAGGAGTTGGTGACAGAGCGAAAGCTGTCAGTAATGACTCCTTTCTCTCTCACCTATTGCAAATAAATACATTGACATAGTTGATCACCTTTTTTTTTTTTTTGTCAGTTGTGGGAATTGAACTCAGGGCCTGGGAACTGTCCCTGCATTCTTTTACTCAAGGCTAGTGCTCTACCACTTTGAGCCACAGCCCCACTTTCAGTTTTTGAGTAGTTAATTGGAGATAAGAGTCTCACAGGGACTTTTCTGCCTGGGCTGACTTCGAACTGAGATCCTCAGATCTCAGCCTCTGAGTAGCTAGGATTACAGGTAGGAACTACTGGCACCTGGCTAATAGCATGTATGTATGCATATTGGCCTGACTATGCATGTACACATATAATAAAGGCATCATTTCAAGTTACACAGAAAATATGAGAAAATATATTTATATAAATAAACAAGTTTCTTTGATGTTATACGATAACATTCCATTAAAACATTTACCAATGAAATGACATGTTTTACAAGGAAAAATTTCAAGCTCATGTGAAGTGTAGTTCACAATTCAAATATTATTTGATGGAAAAATAGGCTGCTGGATGCTGGGGGGGGGGAGTTGAGCCTTCTCTGGGGACAGAGATCAGGATGTGGCCTGAGGTCAGCCAGGGAAAGAAGTCTGAGTGATTGCTCAAAAATAGCTTTGTATGGTTATATATGCCTGCCATTACCACTATGTCAGGAAACACAAATAGGAGGATTATGGTTCATGATTATCTGAGTAAAAAGTGAGACTTTGTCTCAAAAATAAGGTATGGTACATATGGTAAAGCACCTTCCTAGCAATTATGAAGCCTTGATTTTAAAGCCAAATATTGCAAGAGAGAGAGAGAGAGAAAGAGAGAGAGAGAGAGAGAACACAGCAATAATTTTCTATCATCCAATGTTTACTGATAGCGAATACAACAGACAATAAATTGTCAAGAATATAGATTTTTAACACTTATTTTCTTTTCATTGTAACATTACTGTTTCTAGTAATAATGTTTTGGAGGCAGAGTTACTACATAGCCCAGGCTAGGCTTAAACTTCCATCTTTTTTCCCCCAGTCTCCTGAGTGCTGGGACTATATTTAGGTACCACCATGCAATACTTTAAAGTAACACATTACTTTAAATGTCTGTAAGCAATTTAGAAGTTGGATATTAAAATACACATGTGCCTCTTCAGCTATGCATACACATGGAGCCACCTACAGAAGACTAGGAGAATTGGTGATGGTTCTGTGTGTGAATCTACAAGCATATCTGAGTAGCAGTAATTTGTCTACAGTGCTACTGTCTTCATCTAAACACAAAGCACGGAAGCATACGTATCTAGAAGTGTATGCAAAGTTATATTTACCAGCAGAGAAGTTGGGGATTTGGCAGGACATGTTCTAACCTGCTGAAATTTACCACCCGAAACGTCAGAGCGGCTGGGGATGGGTTGTTGGCAAAGTGCCTGGTGATGCCGGCAGGAAAGGATAACACCATTTCTCCGGTAATCTTAACGATACACCTGGAAGATCAAAATAAGAGCAAAGATAGGGGAAACCCATGTCAGTACGCTGAGCTGCAACAAGAAAAGATGTGTGTTGACAAAGTGAATCAGCAGGGGATGAAAGCCAAGCGTTCACAGAGCCACGCCCAAGGGCTGAACCGAACTTACCTCACTCAATGCCTAACATTTATTCTTTTTCTTAAAAGAAGCATCTTAACCATAAGAAAATATTAAGCTTTTTTAAAAAAGCGGAAGTCATTTTAAGAACTTGAGGTTTGAATTTACCTTTAGGGGAACTGAGTGTTTGGTTGGGGAAATAAAATGGTAATCCCTATGATAAAGAATGATAGGCAGGAATAAGAAATAAAGAATCATTTACCCTTGTGTTTTTCTCTGGCTTTGATTTCTGAATATTGGCTGCATGTATGAAGATGCTACACTAGGGTCTCATCCTTGCCTGAGACTTAGTGCCTTAAACACATGTACCTGTGTGGTTAAGTTCCTGCCTCCTGCCCATGCTGTCTTTATCCCTTTAACTTGTCCATTTTGTCACAACTGTAAGATCAGCCACAGACATGATCGCAACATGAGTATACCTTTCTTGAAAAAGAATTTTTGGAGATATAGTTAATGTAACAAACTGCACTTATTTAGAATATAAAATGCCATAGGACAGTATGATTTGAAATCACCATACATTCAAGAGTAAAGTCTTCAGCATCCTTCAAAACTGCCTCCTGCCTTTTCATGAAATATTTTTTATGAAATCTCCCAACTTCCCATGCCCCAGCCCTCGGCAATTGTGAAAATGAGCTTTGTCACCATCCATTGCTTTGCATTTGCTACAATTTTTATATAACAAAATCATAAAGCATGTGATTTTTTAAAAAACACAGAGAGAGAGAGTGAGAGAGAGAGAGAGAGTGTGTGTGTGTGTGTGTGTGTGAGTGAATGTGTATCAAGCTTCTTATCCTCAGAATAATTTGGATATTCAGCCATGTAGTTGTACGATTCCTTTTTGCTGCTGTGTGGCACATGGACATACTCCAGCTTAAAAAAAACATCCTTTTGCCTGTTGAAGAATATACAGGCTCTTTCTTATCTATGATAAATATGTGATGAGTATGTGTGACAGTCCTCTGGAAGGATGGATACTCTCATTTCTTTTCTTTCTTTTTGTGGCAACACTAGGCTTTGAACTTAGCGCCTCTCTTATTTGCTGGGCTGATGGTCCAGCCTGGCTTTTTGATGGTTAATTAGAAATAGAATCTTGCCAACTTTTATTGGCAAGGTTAACTCAAAGCATGATCCTTTGGATCTTAGACATCTGAAAAGCTAGGATACAGTCATGGGCACCAGTGCCCAGTTCTGCTCTTCATTTGGTGAATTTATGAGTAGAGTGAATAGATCACTTGGTAGGTAAACTTTTAAAGAAACCACCCAGTTCATTTCTAAAGTGGAAAATACAGTTGTGTGTGAGTTTTTGATCTTCCACATCCTCACTAACACTTGGTAGAATTTGCCTTTTTAATTGGCTGTTCTCATAATGGTGAATATTCTTAAATATCTTTTCAGGGGCTTATATGCTATCAGTTATCTTCTATAGGAGGTGTCTGCCCAAATTCTCTGTCAAGGTTTTAAGTCAAGATTCTTTTTTCTTATTGGGTTTGAGTTTTTATACCTTCTTGGTTTGTATGATTTAATATATATAAATGTTTAATATCTATAACTATATAATTATCTATCTATCTAATTTGCAGACATCTTCTTCTCCCCAGTCTGTAGGTTATGTTTTCTTTCTCTTAAGAGTTCTGTCAAAACCAAACATTAAAAAAAATCAGTCAATCTACTTTTTGTGATTTATATACAAAACCCAGTTGTTTTCTTTATTTTGTTCTTGGCAATATTTGAGTTTTAAACTCAGGGTCTTGTTCTTGCTAGGCTAGGGCTCTATCACTTGAGCCACGTCCTCTCAGTCTTTTTGCTGTAGTGATTTTTAGATAGAGTCCTATGCTTTAATCACCTGTCTGGCCATAGACCATGGTCCTCCTCCATGCCTCCTAAGTAGCTGGAATGAGAAGTGTGTACCACCACACTTGGCTTATTTGTTTTTTTTGCTAACTTTTTTTGCTCAGGCTGTACTTGAATTGTCCTCAAAATAATCCTCCATTATCTACCTCTGAAGTAGACAGGATAACAATCAAGACCCACCATGCCCAGCTAAATTCAGTTATTCTTTTCTAGTCCTATTTAGGAAGCCCTTTCTAAGCCTAAGGTAAAAAAAAATGTTTATACTGAGATTTTTTTTCTTCTTGAAGATGTGCGTACGTGTGTGTGTGTGTGTGTGTGTGTGTGTGTGTGTGTGTGTGTGTGCACATGCATGGGCATATGCATGTGTGTGCATGCTGGTTCTAGGGCTTGATTTCAGAGCTTAACATTCTTGTCACCTTTCATACTCATGGCTGGTGCTATACCACTTGAGCCACATCACCAGTCTTGTATTTTTCTGGCTGATTGGAGATTAAGTCTTAAGGACTTTTCTCTGTGCTGGCTTCAAACTGCAGTCCTGATGTTAATCTCCCCTGTAGCTAGAATTACAGGAATGAGCTATTGGTAACTAGATTAAAAAAAAAATTGGCAGGTTCTCATTATATGGCCCAGGCCAGTCTCAAACTCATGATTTTCCTGCCTCAGCCTTCTGAGTGCTGGGATTATAGGCATGTACTGCCACATTGAGTCCTTCTTTCAAGAGTTTTTTAATTTTTAAGATTACATTTAGCTTTATGACTCATTTTACTCAATTTTTAATACAGTATGAAATATAGGTCTAAGTTAGTTATTATTTTTTGTTATATGTATTGTGTCAAAATATATGTGGATACAGATCCACATCCCAATCTGGTTTTTGGTTCCAATGATCCATCGTGTCTGTCTTTAGCTGATATTACGCTGTCTTGATCACTATAGTTTATAATAGTTCTTAAGTAATGTTAGTTTTCAAGGCTGTTCTCTTTCAAAGTTGTTTTGGCTATTGTAGATCCATATCAAAATTTTCATCTCCATGTGAAATTCAGAATTACCCTGTCAGTTTTGATTTACAATCAATCTATTTATTGTCAATTCAAATTCATCCTTCACTTCTTATTCTCTGATCAAGAAAGAATGTACTCTTTCTATAGTTTCTTTTTCTTTCTTTTTCCCCCAAAAGCACTATGTTAAATTTTGTCAGTAGAGGGCGCTGGAGAGACATCTAGGAAGAAGCAGGCTTGTAGAGCAGCTTCCTGCCCAGCTTTTCTAGTTCTACTTTCTTCCAGGACACTTGGTGTCCCTAGGGAGTGTGTTTTGCAACTCAAACGTGGTTTTTCCAGTGCCCAACAGACTATAAGCTTCTGTCTTACCAACTTATGTAGTAATACAGTAGCTGGGCTGCCCCAGTGATCAGATCCTACAGAGCAAGGAAGATTTTCAGGCCCAGGGCTCAGATAGGTGTGCACTTGTCCACTGTGGCTTCTGCAGAGCATGCTGTTGGCCCCTATCAACCATTAGCTTCCATTGGCACCTTCCTCAAGCTGTGTTGCTGAGAAGATGCACAGGTCAGAGCATTTATTTCAGACACTGTTAATATTATGAAAATAAAAGTGGATGATATATCATAGTATGTGATAATGAAGGGAGTGGTATGGTCTGAAAACAAATGGTTCTGATGCAACAGAAAAAAGATCTGCCGGCAAAAGCAAAACCAAATGTCCCTTCTGTAGCCTTTCTTTCTTTGGTGTCATGTTTGGTTTTGCTTCTGAGGCATTCCCTTAGAAGTGAGTGACAAAGAAGAACCATTCAAATGAGTCATTGCCAGGAGATTAAACTAAATGTGGAAGCATGTCAGTTCATGGTACCTTCATAAATTTCAGACGTCAATATTTCAATGAAATGGACTAGACCGCCCATCCACCCATGTGCAGGGTACATGACAACTACTGATGGCAATATACTTGAGAATAGATTGCCTATAAATCTGCAATTGAAAGGCTCAATTAGTCTTGAAAGATATAAAAAGGATATTAAGAATAACGAGGCTGACGTGCTACATCACTACGATGCCAAGGCTGTAAAAAGATGTGGCCATAGGTACGATTCTCCTCAGACATCTTCTTAGTGTGGTGGCGAAACTGAGCCAGGATGAGGAAACTGGATTGGATTTAGGTAGGCCCAAAGAGGATTTGGTTGCTAACACAACTTCTTAGGATTAAAACCAAAACGTTAGGAAGGACTTTGCATCTCCCATTGCATTACATCTACATCTATTTTTCCATTCCAACGGGTGAACATGGTCTCTTTTCAGAGGTCAGGGATCAGGTAACTGTAAGTCTTGGAGATGACATCAAAGGCGACCTTGGCAAAGTTGCTCCTGACAGTCATCAATACCGACCATCATCAAGCGCTTCCTGGGGACAAGAGCTGTCACCATCTCGGGGCCGTGGTGGCGCGGATGAGGTGTACCAGCAAAGGAGAGCGGCCTGTCACCTTGCAGACAGTGTGGGGCCTGCCAATCTTGTTCCCCCGCTAGCCTCTCTGCAAGGGACAATGGAGAGGTTGGCTGAAACTCAGATGGCTGTGGCAACCTCCTTGGATCATGGCCACTGTAAGTCACCAGTGGCTACAAATGTCTTGAACATGGTGCGCTGGCCTGCTCGGGTTCGCTTTTGCACCGGTATAATCTTCAGCACCTCATCCTTGAGGGTACAACCCCAGGAAGAAGCGAATCATCTCAGACTCCTTGATGGGCAAGGAGAAAGGAGAGATCTCTTCCAAAGACTTGATCTGATGTCCATAACCAGGCAGGCCAGTTTGGTGAAGGGTTTCCATTCCTTGCCTTCGGCCTTGCCTCCACGAGCCCTGCTGGGACCTCGGCCTCTACCATGACCTCAGTCCCCGGAGGCCGCTGCTGGAGCCTCCTCAGAAACCGCAGCCTCCCATGCCTGGCCCCAGAAGCCTCCGTGCCCTCCTTCTGCACCGGCGTCATTCGCCATCTAGAAGATATTCCTTATTGTTTTGGAAGTGTATTTCTCTCTGCTTTTCTTGATTTGGGCCAGTCTGAATCAATCAGAGATCAATCAGTGACAACTACTTCTTAGCCTTTGGTGACAGAAATTATGCAAATTCTATAGATTCCATAGACTTGACATGTACATCGAAAGTTTATACCCAGAGGTCGTAGTTCAAAGCTGTTAATGTCTGCACTCATGTGGTTTAGGCAGGAGGGCTTGCTATATAGCAAGACCCTTTCTACAAAAATAAAAACCAAAAAACCCCAAAAGCAACAACAACAAAACTGCCTTGTCTGTCTTTGTCTCTGTCTGCCTCTGTCTGTCTCTCTGTCTCTGTCTCACTGTCTCTCTGTCTCTCTGTCTCTCTCTCTGTGTTTACTTGCTTTAGCAGTTCAAATATATGCTCTAGGGTAGGCTCTATGCTTTGAGATAGCTTCTAGTTTCTATTGCTGTGTGGGAAGGGACCTGCTTTGACAATGAAAGAGAAAGGACATCCAGAGGCCACAATGCTAGTTTTCCTCTAATATTTTGGACATAGAATAAATCTTAACTGTGACTGGAAAGAGACAGCACTTCTAGGGAGCTTATATATCCCAGGGCTGGGTAGGACACTTAAAGGTGGAGTTACTAATTATATTGATTTTCCCCCAATATATTACCACGAGATTTTAACAAATGAGTGTTTCTGAAGTGTGAAGAGTGTCACACTTAGTCATACAAATCCCCATTTCAAAAGTGTTGATTCAACTTCTAATTATACTTATCACTGCTTCAAAAATGTTTATAATCGGGTCCCTATGAGCATTTATTTTTTTCTCTCTCACTTTTGTTGTATACATGGTAAGGTTTTCCAAGTCCTAAACCTTGGACATGAAACAACTAAGAACTAATTAATGTAAATAGAAGTTAGTATCTTCTTTCTTATAGTTGTTACTTTACTGTGATTTAATTTTTTCAGTCTCTTATTTTTGACCAGTTTAATTTTTAATTTTTTGACCAGTTCCCTTGCTGCTCTGGGTGTTTTGGGAAGGCAGTTTTCCCTCTTCCATTGATTCTTCATTTCCATTTATATTGTGAATGATTTTCAACCAGGGAAGAACAAGACAATAAAAGACATGACCTAGACATCACTTTTGTGAGACAGCACATTTTCTCTTTGCTAATAAAGTTACATTACAATTTTCTGTTGCTTGTAATCAAAACAGAACCAAGGAATTTTTAGAGTGAGATATTAGATTACTGGATCTTTTGGAACTGCAAAATAAAGTCAGTGAACTAATATTACTAACTAAATTTTATCCTCTACTGTGGATGTATCACTTGCTACTCTTTTTGGCCTTAGGATAAAGAGTGAGATATTCACATGTAGGGTGTTCCCCTTCCCCCACAGGAGTACAGTGACCCATGTGCTAGGCTTACTTGCTGGGATCCGCTCCTTTGAAGTAGGCATTGACTGTTTCTGTGAATGCTGCTGCAACAGGAAGCGTGTCCTGGGCTCCCATGGTTAGGGGGCTGGGTCCCCTGGAGGAACCTGTATGGAATGGAAAGCTTTCATTTACTATAGAACACTCTACACATCTAGCATATGTGGAACTAAAGGCCCATTAATGGAGTAAGGGATAAAATCTATCACTAACAGAAACAGACTAAGAACCATGACTTTATATGCATATTCAACATAGAGCTCAAGTATTTAGAAAGAAAATATTTGGCTGGCTTACAGACAAACACTTGAAATGAATTCAATTATGTATTTCACTACAGGAAAAAGAAAAAAAAACACAAAGGAACAATCCAAGCAGAAGTACAAAGTCACAGGGGCTTCAAATGTTTGGCATAAAGCAGGAGGCAGTATTTGCATGACAGTTTGTGCAGCAGGTGGTTAATTAAAATTATTAGTTTCCTCTTTCCTATCTGAGCAGTCAGCCTAATCAATTGGTCATACTGAAAACTTCTTGTATTTCTTTATTGGGAGGAGACAGACAAGTGGTTATACACTGCTTTTTTCCATTTCTAGAAGCTCAGTTACTCTCAGATCTAGTGATCTCAAGTTAATGTGCCTAAAAACATAGACAGCCAAAATATTCACATCAACTTAGCACAAGCACAGAAATTCACACTCTGGAAAATATCATCATCTCTTATGTCTGGGCACAGGGTGCAGCAACCTGTGCCTTCTATGAATTATTTCATTCAGTCTCCCCGTGTGTCTGGAATAGGCCTAACAATTTTTGTTTTAGAGCAGAGGGAATCTGCAGCTCAAAGCTGAAATAGTTGCTCAAGATCATATAGTGAGTAAGGTAGCAAAACCAAAATTTAAACTGAGACTTGCTTCCCTCTAAAACTTACACTTTAACCATTATACCATACAGGTTGTTCATAACAAATACTAAGCTATATTGTTTTTCTCTAACACATACATAGCCTTACAAAGGATCACAATTCAGGGTTGCTGTCTTTGTTACTCATTTCTAGGCAAGGCTCAAGGACCATAAAGGGGAAAAGTATATTACACTTGCAGTGCTTTTTTCTACCAAACAAAAGATGTTAATTCCTCCCTGCTTCTGGCATAATCTATACACACTGGTGTTATGATTGTTTGTCTTTACTTTAGTAACTTCTGTCCTTCTCCCTAGCTGTGAAAACACCACCTTTTCTATATATACCTTTTTCCTCAAGACTGATTTTTCTTAATTATTCTGGTTCATGCTAATTTCTTTTGTACCTTCTCTTGGAACTCAATATCCTGGACTTTGTAATGAATCATTAGATTCGCACATATTTGTTTGATGTCTATTATGCATCAGGCATTATCATAGCTTCTGAGATTCAAAGATAATCAACCATGGTCCTCATCTCTGATAAGTTACAGTTTAATGTGTGTTCACCATCATCATCACTACCACCACCACCACCATCATCATCATCATCATCATTAGCATCTACAACATTCAGCACCAATATTCCCTCATCACTATTGTTGCATGCTGAACTCTGTGCTTTATGTTTGAAGTAAGCATTACCTTCCCATGACAGTTAATGAAACTGTCATAGTGTGAAGTTGGTTATCAGCCTCTGGCACTATTGACCAGTGGTGGAGCATTCAGGAAGAGAAACTAGATGGAAGGAAGTCAGGTCCTTGGTGTTCTGCTCTTGAAGGGGATATTGGGACCTCAACCCTTTGTGCTCTCACTCTACCAGGAGGTAAGAGGTCTCTTCTACTATAGGTTCCTATGACATAGCTAGACAACGTGGTGCTGAAGCCCCCGAAACTGAGCCAAACCTGAGGATAAACCTGTCCTCTGTGTATATAGATTTTCTCAGATACTTTGCCACTATAATGGGCAACTGACTATCACAAGAACTAAAAGGCTGAAAGAGCTTATACAACTTGCTCAGCCTTGCACAGCTGGTATGCAGAGCAGTTTAAGACTTGTATTGAGGTCTCTTCCATTCCAGATTAAGGCTCTGAGGACTACATTATTTTGCTTCTTTACTTGGTTACTGCAGTACTATCCAAGGATAAGCAAATAACTAGTATTACTGGCACGTGAATGTCAAGGTCTTTATTACTTATGGGATTGTAGGCCCCTAAAAGGAGATAACTGTGACATGACTTCTTTTATGGGCCTTCCATACTCCCCACAAGGAGAATCAAGACGGTTAAGTTGAAGTTGAATTGTGCCCTGTTGGATCTCAGGAGGAAAGTGAAGTTTATGTACATGTATAACTGATCTATAAATAGTGAAGGCACAATATAAACAGGACATTATTTTGTAATGGTGTTGCTCAGTTTATTTGGAACATGTTAGTCCACATATTTATTGAGAGAATGCTTTTCTTAGCTGATGGTTAAAGTTGAGCCAGAATGGTGACAGGGCTGAACTGTTAGCATTATAGCAGGGTCAAGGTTCCCATCGGATGAGAACTTGGAATCTGGAGAGGGGGTTGAAAAACTTTCAGTAGAATAATTAAAGTAATTTGACAGATGCTTTAAAAGGATGTGTTGAGCAAAGCTCTAAGAAAGCTATTGCTGTGGTTTCAGTAAGTCAGAAAGGTTTTCTTTGAGAAGATAATATTGGAGTCAAGGTTAGAGGAATAACAGGATCTTATGAAGGGGAAGAAGAATTAAGGCCTAGTATGTACTTAAGAGTGTGCTGTTGGGGTGTGTGTAAATGAGGTTGTTTTGAATAGTGAAACATAGAAGCAGATAAGACTTGGTGATGATGAGCTGTATATAAATATTTGGGAAATTATATGTATATATATATAGTATTATATGATTTGTAGCTACTGAAATTGTAAGTCCCTTTTGATAATCTCATTTAAATATATGGATACTTTTCAGAACAAAGCCTATGTACATACATACATACATAATTTAAAATAGCATATACATTTCTTTAAGTCTTTTGGGGGGATCTGGAACTGAGATTAGAATATTCCCATTGAAGATAAGAGGCCTCTGGCATGTGTGAAATGGAGGTGGGGGTGGTAGGCTCACAATGAGTTTGAATTTCTGTTACATTTGTTATAGTATAGATGAAGGGACTTCTTAAAAAGAAAAAGATAAAATTATTGAGAAATGACGATTTTTAAAAGAGAAGAATGTCATGGTCATTTTACTTTTTAAGGCTGCAAAGCATTAAATTATCTTTCATAGAATTCTTGTAAATAAAATAACGAAAATAGTAGACTTTCTAAGTGAGATACATTCATGGTTTCATGCTAATTAAAAAGGAATTTTCTAGTGAATCATCTTGAATATCTGTCCTTAATCTGATTCTTTAGCATCTGGAATAAAACTAAAAAAAAAGCTCAGAAACAGCAAGTTCAGTCTTTGGTTTCCTGGCTTTATCAACAGTAGTTGTAGTGACAAACAAGAAATTCTGTGGCTCTTACTGCATCCCAAGAACTATTCGAGGCCTTACTTATCTCAACTCTTCATCCTGACAATCCTTCTCCGAGGTAATTATCATTAGTCTACAAATGAGGAAACAGGTTTCAGGTCCTCTTATTGCTTTGCTACATAGTCACTTAGGAAGAAAACATTGAGAACTGAACTGGGATGTGGTCTGAACCTTGTTTGAGTGGAGGCTACAACGTTCGCCACATTGTTGGAGGAGTGAGGGCCAGGAGGGTGAGCAGCTGCCGTGACTGATGACAAATAGCAGTGTTAGGGGACAGAGGGAGCTCTGAAAGACAGAAAGGGCACACAGGCTCACAATGCATGATGGGAGTTTCTGCAGGGCAGTTTTTGGTGAGTGTCATTGCTAAGCAAGGACACACAAGCACACCTGTACAGCCCAACGCCAAAGCGAGTTAAAATCCTTAACAGTAACATCCAAAAGACATCCTGAGCAGATCATTGAAATACAGTTGTGGTCAAGAAGTTGTGAAAATGTATGTGGAAATGGAGCGAAAAGAAAAGAAGGTTTAGAAGAGAAAGAGAAAGATAAGGAGATAAGAGACTGCAAACAAGACAGATACAGAAAATGAAGAGGGAGGTAAGAAGGTACACTTTACAAATAAATAAATGTCTGTATCCTTTGCACAGGAATACCTTGTGTTACACTATTGCCAGTAGTAGCAGCAACATGTCCTGTGTCTACACTGTGGTGTTTTACAAGTGTTGTTATCTAGCATTCACATAACACTGTTACCATGTAGATGCTACTTTTCACTTCTTTCTTAAAGACTAGGAAATCTGGATGCTAGAGTACCAGCCCAAATTCAGAGAGCAGGGATCGTCCCTGCAATTGTTATGCTTTGTTGTTCCAGTGAAGAATCTAGGACTGTGTTAGACACCGTGGGCTTCAGTCTTGATGGTGGACAACTCAGTGGGTCTATCATTAAATTAGATAATACTAACAATGCTCTTAATCTTACCCAAATGTAGGGAAGAGCTATGCTACTAATAATGGGTTTGATGAGACTACAAATTTTACCTTTGCTCATCTGGGATTGGAAACAACCATCCTGAAAGAGCAAGCTGAAGTATGCGTAACAGGAGGGGATGGTACTGTTTGTGTAAAAGACCATTATGTTTTATAGTCTCTTGACAGTTGTCCACTCTAGCAGGCCTGCTTTAGATAGAAGGTAGAGGCCCCGTATGCCCAGGGATGAGAGGGGCAAAAGCAGACACGATATTCCAGACATAAAAAAGAGATGATTAGACTGGTTAAAAGAGCAAAAAGCACAAGTTCTATTCTATTCTGGACTAGTTTATAGAGAATATTCTGTAGAATGCAGTACTAGCGAGAAAAAAATTCTGGAAAAGACAGAATTAAATTCAAATGTTGGCCTTATCTCTTATGTGACCATGAAAGAAAAATCTAACCTCTAACCTCTTTGAGTCCCAGCTTTATCATATTGTAAAATGGAGATGGTACCCTTATTTAGATATTATGAAGATTTAAATGGTATGACACAGAACTTGTTACCTGAAAATAGCAATGACCAGGGAAGTCACTCAAAAATTAATGTATTTTAAATGGGTACTAAAATTTTATGGTATAGAAAGTTAGAAGG